AGATGTTAAGGCCAGCAACCCCCAGACAAGCATTCCCCTCATGATCCTGGGCCGCTGACTGCCATCACCTGAGCAGCTGTGCCTGGACTTGGCTGTGTGGGTGGCTGGGGGCAGGCTAGTGAATGGCTTTGCTTCTTGGACTGTATCTTTTACTAGGGGGGAGATCAATAATTTAATATTATGATTTAAATGCATTAGAAACAAGTCTGAATTGCTTATAGGGGAATTCACAAGATTCTTCTTTAAAGATAAAATGGGAGATGTCAAAGAAACGTTGGGTGGGGCAACTCACCCTGAGTCAGTGATCTTCCTAAAGCCAAGGGCTCCTTTGTGGTTCAGTATGAGCGGCTGGGTCAGTCTCTTCACAGCTGATCTTGAATCCCTCTGTCAGGAGTTCTTCTGTGGCTCCCCAGTGCCTGTAATAAGAACCTTAGGTTGGGCGTGGCACCTGTCTGAATGCTCAGAATGATGCTGTTAAACAACTATTTTTACTCCCCTGTTACAGATAAGGAAACTGAGACTTGGGCAGGAAAGAGACTTTTCAAAAGTCTTAGGCCTAATTAGTGGCAAAACCAGGATTCAAACTCACAATTTGAGTCATTCCTCATCGCTGCCTTCCTGGTAGCCACATCGTCATTCTTATTTTCTCTTGATCCACTTTCCATTATCCTGTGTTCCACAGATCTCCTACCCTACAGGTTCTCACTCCAGCACCTTTGTATGTGTGGTTCTCTCCGCCTGCAGTCCCCTGCCTCCTTATGTCTATTTGTTGAGACTCTAACCATTCTTCTGCCTGTAATTCAGGAGACTTGGGTTTGATCCCTTCGTTGGGAAGGTCACTTGAAGAAGGGAATGGCAATCCACTCTGGTATTCTTGCCTGGAGAGTTCCAAGGACAGAGGATCCTGGCAAGTTACAGTTCATGGAGTTGCAAAGAATTGACATGACTGAATGACTTTCACTAACCGGTCCTCATGGTTTTATTCAACTTCTTCTGATGTGCTTTTTCCCACAAGCAAGGGGCTGCCCTTTATCTCTTATGCCTCATAGTTCTATTTGCCCTACTCTCTGAGCCATTATCACATGTATTTTATGTGCCCAGGGATTGCAATGTGACAGACCAGGATTCAGGTTCACGTCTCATTTCTTTCTTTCTTTTTGTGTGTGGCTGTGCTGCCTGGCCTGCGGCATCTTAGTTCCCTAACCAGTGATCGAACCCTATCCCTTGGCAGTGAAAGCTCTGAGTCTTAACCACTGGACTGCCAGGGAAGTCCCCATGTCTGTCACATATATTGGCTTTCTGACCTTGGGAGGGCAACAACTTTTATGAACCTCAGTTTCTTCATTTGTTAAAGTGAGCCTACAATGTGGAGTCAAGAGATGATGAATAGAAACACTCAGCATAGGGTCTGGATGTCTCTGAAAAAATGGCAACAGTTGTTACAGAGCCTTTCCTAGCCTCAGTTTCTTCATCTGTAAAATGGGATTCAATGTTCCCTTGTAGGCGGTCACAAAAGATAGCAAAGGGTGTCCGATGTGCCTGGCACACAGTGAGTCGGTACTCAGCCAGAGAGGGTAGATCTAGGGCTTCCTCACAGATCCAGCCCAGGGCTTTCTGGCTCGGAGCATATTTTTTCAGTTAAAGTTGAGGTAGATTTACATTTCCAAGCAGTGTGGGTTCATTCAGTCCAGGCAGCCCTCACGGTCAGCCTGGTACAAGACGGGGAAGTGACTTGGCACCCGCAAAGTCTCCATCACGATCATCATAACAGTAATTAATTTTTTGGTATGGACAATTGGCATTTTCATTTTATGTAAAGCACTTTTGGAGAATTTTGCTGTTTTTATTGATCTGTAATGTATTGTCTAAGTATAAACAGCAGCTGCACAAGCAGTTTTAAGCAAAGCCCTCAGCTCCCTTGCAAACAGACTGCTGCCTGAAGTCCTTCCTGAAGAGAAATTTGGGAGCTCCCTCTGTCCAACCATGCCCCCATTGCTACCCTCCTTTGGTTATGAAACAAATTCTCTGGAAACTGCCCTTTAGTGTCTGGGATTAGGAGGGTAGAGGTAGGTGAAGACCCCCAGCTCCTTTCACAGAGGGAGGGGTTGTCTTCAGTCATTTTCACAGGGGGAAGAGGTCTGAACAGCAATAGCAGAAAGATGGCATGATCCAGGGGCAGGCAGGGAACTCTGCTTTGCGGTGATGGAGGGACTGCCCCCAGAGGTCCAAAGGTGCCTCTGTCCCTAAAGACATGTAGCCTTTCCCACCCTCTCTTCAGGCTGATTTCAGAGTTGGGAAGACTGAGATTGACGTTCCAATGGCTCCCATCTTGGGGCTATTTCTCTGGGCAGTGAAATTGATTATACTTTATAAGTAGAGACACAGCCAATGCAAGGTGGGTGCTTTGTTGTGTGTCCTTTTGGGGCTGCAGCTGCTGGAAACGGGGCTTCTCAGAGGAAGGGGCTCTGTCCAGAGGGCAACCCTGAAGCGTGAGGTGCCTGCGGTCTCGTGTGTCTGCTGGGCACCCCAGTGTCCCTCTCCACTGGTGGGGTCTGAGCTTTATTTTGGCCACACTGAATGGGAGCTGGAGAAATGACCCAATAGTTTGAAAATAGTTTGAAAAACTGGATATAAGAAGAGAGAAATGGGGCAGCAGACTGTAAGAAGACTCTGCCTCTTTAGTCCATGGTGCCTGAGGATTTCAGGAGAACTTTACCTGGATGGGTGCAGAGGCCTTGGAGCAGATGGGCCTCCAGGTGTCCTGAGGGGCCTGACAGCCCCTCTACCCTCCCCAGTTTTCCACAGCCCCATATATTCAGGGACCGCAGAGGTCTTATCGTGAGTGAGAAAGTAGATGGTGTGTGACCTCGAGAGGGGAGAGAACTCCTTGGGCCTGTCTGAATAGCCCCTACCTCCTCTCCCCTTGGGTGTTGGGAGTCCAGCCATCCTTACTGAGCTCCAGAATCATTGCAGATGGTGATTGCAGCCATGAAATTAAAAGATGCTTACTCAATGTAAGGAAAGTTATGACCAATCTAGACAGCATATTAAAAAGTAGAGACATTACTTTGCCAACAAAGGTCCATCTAGTCAAGGCAATGGTTTTTCCAGTGGTCATGTGAGAGTTGGACTATAAAGAAAGCTGAGCGCCGAAGAATTGATGCTTTTGAACTGTGGTGTTGAAGACTCTTGAGAGGCCTTGGACTGCAAGGAAATCCAACCAGTCTATCCTAAAGGGGATCAGTCCTGGGTGTTCATTGGAAGGACTGATGTTGAAGCTGAAACTCCAATACTTTGGCCACCTGATGTGAAGAGCTGACTCATTGGAAAAGACCCTGATGCTGGGAAGGATTGAGGGCAGGAGGAAAAGGGGATTGACAGAGGATGAGATGGTTGGATGGCATCACCAACTCGATGGACGTGGGTTTGGGTGGACTCCGGGAGTTGGTGATGGACGGGGAGGCCTGGCGTGCTGTGGTTCATGGGGTCGCAAAGAGTCGGACATGACTGAGCGACTGAACTGAACTGAAGATTATTCAGTCAACAGTGTTTCTTGAGAGTCTCCAAGGCCCAGGTTTGTGTTAGGAGCTGGACAACCAAGTCCCCTCCAGGGACTCACTGTTAAGACAGGGGAGCCAAACTCATGGCCAGCTCATTCCATCTCAGACATTTGAACTTGGGGATTGGTCATAGCAAGGGCCTTAATCTGGTCTGGTCTGAGAGGCCAGGGAAGGCTTCATGGAAAAAACTTGCTAGGTTCCAATCACAGCTCCACCACTTACTAGCTGTGATCTGGAAGAGTTTGTTTGTTTTTTTAATGTTGCTGAGGATTCAGTGAATTAATACATGTAAATATCCCTGAAGACAGTGCCTGCCACACAGTGTGTATTCTGTAAATGTCAAATAAAAACTAAAAACCCCAACAGTCCAGTAGTTGAACAGTCCACTGTGCTTTCACTTCAGGGGCACGGGTTCAATCCCTGGTCAGGGAACTAAGATCCCGCAAGTCATGCAGCCAAAAAAAAAAAAAAAAAACCAAAAACACAAGTACCACTTGGGTGAGTAGGACTTGGCAAGCATATGGGTAAGAAAGAGTGTCCTCAGCAAAGAGAATAGGGACATGGATGTGGGAAAGCAGCTTCCTCCAAGGATCTCCCTTCTGTGTCACCTGGTGGGGGTGATGGTGGCTGTCCTGATCTATGATTTGGGCTGGTAACTCCACCTTCCTCCCTCCACCACCACAGAGTGGTCTTGGGGCATGAGATGCGACTGAGTCCCTGCTGTGCCCACTTACCTAGTCCTCTGCTGGTCCTGTCAGTGTCTGTGAGCCCAGCCGTGGGTGGGCAGTGCTGGGCATTCTCCTATGGGCATCTGGAACTCCCCATTTGGCTGGTGGGAAGCCCGGGGGTCAGGAGGGCTTCTTGAAGGAGGTGCTCTCTGAATAGTGTCCTAAAGGAAAATGAACCCTTTCCTAGACAGGGGGAGGGGGACGTTCCAGGCCCAATGGCACAACCTATGCAAAGGTTGGAGAGATCCCAATTCTGGGAAAACCAAAAGACCTTGGGTGGAGTTTAGGCGCAGGGCCTGGGGAGCCCCACTTTGGATCGCTTTTATCAGGTCTGGATTGCCCTCCCTTTGCCCTCCAGCCCCAGCAGGCGTGGTGGCCTAAGAGGTTAAAGTCCAGTCTTGCTCCAGGGCCAGCCCAGGAGCTGGGGGTAGGGGCACCAGTTGCCCCGTGCCTCCCTCCCACTCCAGAGCCAGGAGGGTTTGGCAAAGCAACAACGCAGCCTTTGTGCGTCTCTGCGGGTCTAGGCACGTCTGGCCCAGCCTAGGCGGCTGCCGGTTTCAGTGCCCTGTGATCCCAGCCAGGCGGGGCGGGGCAGGGCAGGGCGTCCTCAGAGTCTACACAGTGTGGCTCCTGGGTTCCCCACCGCCCTCCCCGCCCCCGCTCCCCGGCAGGGCTCCCCATGTGAGGACACCCATGGTCTTGGTTGGAGTACCTGGATATAGGTGGGGCTGGCAGTGAAGCTATAGAGCAGGTAGACGGTGGGCGGAGGTGGGCGGGAAGGTGGGGGATGGGAGCCGGACATGTCCCAAGGCATGTGGCCTGATGGGTACCCCGGGGTGAGTCTGAGTGTGCATTGGGGTGAGGACATACTTCAGGGTGTGAGGGTCTGGGGTGGAGCACATGAGCAGCCCCCAGCCTGCTCAGAACAGAGCACTGCTGTCTTTCCCTGTAGCGCCAACAACGAGGCCTCTCTCTCAGCACATAATGTCCCCTCTGTATTGTCTGCTGCTCAGTGGTGACGATAATTTTAAGGCTCAGATCCTTTTCGCGGGTGCTGGGGGAAGGATGGAGGCTGTCTGGGGGAGGGCCAGGGCTCCTGGGCTGAGTTTCAGCCTGTGCTTCGGGGGAGGTCTGTTTTGTGTTTGGGGTCTCCCCCTAAACACCCACCACCCTCCCAGGGGCAGCAGAGCGAAGTCAGACTCTGCGGGGACCCCCTCACTGCCAGTCACGTGGCCCTGGCCAGCTCCAAGCCCTCCCCCACTTAGACGTGTCACTGGGGGCCGAGACCTCTTCAGAGGAACCTGCTCTGGTCACTTCTGGTCCCTGCTTGTGTCTGCTGAGCTAGATGTTTCTTCATGTCTGCCTGTAGTCTTTCCTGCTGTGGAAGCGCTAGACCAACATTTGTCAACCTTTTTTTTCTCAGGACTCCTTTTTGTTGTTCATCGGCTAAGTCGTGTCTGACTCTGCGACCCCGAGCACTGCAGCACACCAGGCTCCCCTGTCCTTCACTGTCTCTGGAAGCTTGCTCAAATTCATGTCCATTGAGTAGGTGATACTATCTAACCATCTCATCCTCTGCTGCCCCCTTCTCCTTTTCCTTTAGAGGTTTGATACTAGGGACCCTGGAGAGCTTTTGTTTATGTGAGTCATATTGATCAAGACTTACCGTATTAGAAATTAAAACAAAATTTAAAAACATGTAATCATTCACTTAAAAAATAATAATACTAACTCTATTACAGGTTAACATAGACAATATACTTTTATGAAAAATAACTATTTTCTGGAACAAAGCAAAATTAGCAAGAGGAGTGGTGTTATCTATACATTTTTGCAAATCCCATTAATAACTGGCTTAATAGAACAAAAGTCCCCCTTGGGGTTGGATTCTCACGTCTGTTTTTGCTTTCAGTCTGTTGTGGTATGTTTCCGTTGTTTTGTTGAAGTGTATGAGGAAAACTTGGCCTCACACAGATTTCTGTTTGGAAAGTGATGAGTATTTTCCTCGCCTTTGCAGATAATTTGATACTACACCAAAACTTGACAAGTGATAGTTTCTTAAAGGTTAGTTGCTACGAAGAATCTGAAATACCATCAATGAGCCTTTTATATTCTGTTTCATTAAAGTTCATTTGTCTATCTTGTCCTTTGAATGGCTCTTTTGCCCATGCATAATTTTATAACATTATGCATTGGTCATTTAAAAAATATTAGTTCACTGAGTTATGCAGATCTCTCAAATGTTAATATATTTCATTATATAATATTAAATAGTCATATTGATATCATCATCAATTTCATCAGAAATGTACCAGCAAGATCTCAAGCTCATGGTGACCTATACAAGTATTTCCCAATTCAGATTTTCACTTAATAGAATTTTATCATTGGCAATAAATGCTGTAGTTGTTTTTGTTGAAGTGATAGGCTCACTTGGTTATTTTTGAGAGTATATCTGCCAGATAGCCAAGTCTAAAGTTTGTCTGTCAGTCTTTCTTGTCTTTTTCTCTTTCCGTCTTTCCTTCTTTCTTCCCAACCCAGGAATTGAGCCGGGGTCTTCTGCATTGCAGACTAATTCTTTACCAACTGAGCTATGAGGGAAGCCCTTAAAGTAAAGTGGTATTCCATAAAAAAGCAGCTAGTTCAGGTCATAACTCAAACAACTGCAGAACTGCTTCCCTTTGAGGTAGAAATCATACTTTGGTATGTTACAGGCTGTTTTATGTGAATTTCCCAAATCATCACACACAGTGTTTACTAGATGTGTATGCAAGGTTGAGATTTAATAAAATCACTAATTTTTTACTGCTTCACTTCAACAAGGACATTCTTAAGTGAAACTAGCTTCTTTTTTTTTTTTTAATGGACGCTCCTGACAGTGATATATACAATAACTTCTAGGCTTGATTTGTGCTAAGGCACGAACAGTTTTACCCACTATTATTTTTGTACCATCTTTGCAAGTCTCAGCACAGTAAAAAGCCTTAGTATTATTGGTAAAATAATTTTGACCTTACGTAGCCCAAATAAGGTCTTAGATACTCCCAGGGTTCTATGATCCCTGCTTTGAGAACCACTGTACTAAGTTACAGGCTTCCCAGGTGGCTCAGTGGTAAAGATTCCACCTGCCAACGCAGGAGACACAGGAGATGCAGATTTGATCCCTGGGTTGAGAAGATCCCCTGGAGGAGGAAATGGTAATGCACTCTAATATCCTTGCCTGGATAGTCTCATGGACAGAGGATCCTGGTGGGCCACAGTCTGTGGGGTTGCAAAGAGTTGAACACGACTGGGCAAAACTGATCACACTCATGCGTACTGAGTTATTCTGCCTCATTCTGTTCTTGGTGGTGATGGGCCATGTTTTACATATTTCACCGATTAGGACACTGAGCCCCAGTGGAGCCTCACATGGGTCCTCATCTCTCATTCCAGCACCAAAATGAGAATTTTTTTCCTGGCAGGGATTGGGGAGACTTCTTAGGGGAGGTGGTGTTGATTTGATGGTTGGCCAGAATGCAAAAGGTGGGGGTGGGAACCAGGGAGTACATTCTTAGTAGAAGGAACAGCACTGGCAAAGGCCTAGGGAAAAGAACACATAATGAGGCCAGATAACTAAGATCTCGAATGCCAGCCTCAAGGCACTAGGCACCACAGAATCATGTTGACAGGGGAAGCAGTGACTGTTGTTTAGTCGCTCAGTCGTATCCAACTCTTGTGACCCCATGGACTGTAACCCGCCAGGCTCCTCTGTCCATGGGATTCTCCAGGCAAGAATACTGGAATGGGTTGTCTTTACCTTCTCCAGGGGGGATCTCCCCAACCCAGGGATCGAACCTGCGTCTTCTGTGTTGGCAGGCATATTTTTTACTGCTAAGCCACTGGGGAAGCCCAGTGATGAATGAGATGAACCCAGAGACGGACAGGGCCAGAGATGGGGCCCTGGGCCTTCACCAGGAGGCCTTTCCATGCCAGCTGGCCTCAAGGCTGTGCCCTTAGAGTGGGTTGACATGTGGCCACTTAGATGGACTCATCCTTCATGACCATGACTGGCAGAGTGTGGTCTGCTGCCCAGAATCCCCTGGTGAAAGTGTCTCCCAGGTTTCTGCGCCGACAGCTTCTCTCTTCCTTTGTATCAGCTGTCGTAGTGACAGTGACCAGCCTCGCCTGGCTTCTTGTCATGCGTGCATGGGAGGTGACCTGATCAGAGGTGACAGCTGCAGAGAGAGGTTGGTCATGGTGTCCTGTCAGTGGGTGATCAGGGCCTGGGCCCGGGAGCTGTGGAAGTGGGGGGCTGCAGCACTGACTCTGAACAGGGATCGCCTCCCACCTCCACCCTGGGCCAGGCGCGCCCTTCTTTTCCTCCAGGGGCTCCGTGTTCCTGCTCTGGCTTGTCCCCCTGTGCTGCTGGGGCTCAACTCCTGGCTGGGTCTGAGATGGGGAGACAGACCTCAGTTTCTGCGTAAGACCGACCTCTCTACCCTGCTGTGCTCCTGGGAACTGGGCCCGTATGGGTGTGCGTGGCTGTGCTGTGTGACTGTGTGGGAGTGTCCTATGCCACGTGTGTTTGTGACTGTGGCGTGTGATGTGCCCTGGAGCACAGATGCATGTGAGCTTGTGTACCCTACCATGTTGAGTCGTGTGTATGTTTTTGCGCCTTTAGTTGGGTGGTGTGTATTTTAGTATATAGTTTTGTATATCTTTTGGGGGCGTGAGTGTCACTGTGGTGGGAGTGTGTTTTTGTGTGATGGTTTGTCAGTATATATCTTGGCCCGGTCCCAGAAGAAGGCCTGCTGAGGCACTGGGGCTTGGGGGTGGGGCCTGTGCTAGGCTAGGGAACCCATAGCCAGGAGGTCTGACTGGGAATGGACATGTCTTCACTGGCTCAGTGAGCATGTGTGCTCAGTCAGGTCTGACCCCATGGACTGTAGCCCACCAGGCTCCTCTGTCCATGGGTTTTCCCATGCTAGAATACTGGAGTGGGTTGCCATTTCCTTCTCCAGGGGAATCTTCCCAGGGATCGAATCCGTGTCTCCTGCATCTCCTGCATTGCAGGCAGATTCTTTACAACTGAGCGATCAGGGAAGCCCCACTGGCCCAGAGAGCATTGCAAACCATCAAAGAACCCCTGTCTAGCTTTGCCACCCCTGGCTAGTCAGGGTGGCTGGGTGGAAAGAAGGTATGAGGGAACCAAAACAGGTTTGGCCCACCACCAGCACCTTGCTGCCACTTGAGCCTAGTGGTGGTAGCCCAGTGCCCTGGGCCCATCCTCCTAAGGCTCCAAGCACTTTTTGTTGTGGGAATTGGGAAGGGGCCAAAGGCATGGCTCAGTTTGGCTCTTGGGGTCAACTTCAGTTCGTGGTGGACCATGGAGGCAGAGTTGGACTCACACTGTGTTGGGCTGGGGCTGCAGGTAGGACTAGCTCCACTGAGTCAGGCCTGATGCTAAGTTCATTACATATGTCATTCACTCAACAAATGTTTATTGAGCATGTTCCAGGCCCTGCTTTAGGTGCTGGCAGTATAGCAGGTAGCCTCACTGAATCAGAGAGAGGAGAGAGGGCCTACTGCTGTGCGTGTTACAGAAGAAGAACCAGATCCTAATGGGTTAAGTGATTTGCCCAAAGTCACGACAAAGCTGAGATTGGAAACCAGGCCTGTCTTGTGCCAGAGACGCCCTCCTCCTGCCCTTGATGTTCACAATTGCAGCCTACATGCTCACTGAGCTAGGACCAGCAGGGCGAGGGGATGGGCAGACAACGCTTGGCTAGCCTTGTGCCCTGGGCTATTGGCTGATGCTGGAGAGTGGGTACA